AAAAAAACCTCTCCCCCCCCTCAAAAAAGGGGGGCTGCGTGAGTTTCTGGGGCCAAGGAGGCAGGTGGCACCTTTCCCGACTGGCACCCTTCATGGAAAGCCGCTGGCTTTGCGGGGATCCCCCAGCCCCTCCCTCCCCCGCAGAGGTCGGGAGGCAGCTCAGGCCTGGGTGGGGGGGCTCTGCCCGGGCCCCCTGCCCGCCCCCCCCAGGCCAGACCTGGCTTTTGCAAAGGCCGCCTGGGTGGGTCGCTCTGCACAGCCAGGAAGGAGCCCGGGGGGGGGGGGGGCCCCGGGCCCCCTCCGCAGGCCCCCCCCCCCCTCCCCACTTTGCGATCCCGGATGCGGCTCGATGCCCCGGCCTTGGCAGGCTAAAGGGGGAGGGGGCGTCTAGGGTGCCACCCCCGGGCGGAGCCCCATCCCTCCCTCCCTCCCTCCCCGCCAAAGCCCCGCCGGAGACCCCAAGGGCGCCAGCCCCGCTTGCCCGGGGGAGCCCCCTCGAGCCCGACCCTCCCCGCGACCCCCGCCGCCCGCCCCGGCCACCACGCACCCGCCGTCCATGCGCCCCGCCGCCCGCGCGATCCGGAGGGGCTGAGGCCGAGCCGGGCCTGGCACTTCCTGGGTGGCGGCGCCGAGAGGAAGCGCAGCCGGGAGCGCCGCCCAGCCGCGCAGCAGCGCTGGAGCAGGGCGGGGATCGCTGGACCGCCCCGCTCCGGAAGGCAGGAAGGGAGGGAGGGAGGGAAGAAAGGAGGGGCGGAGAGAGAGAGAGAGAGAGAGGAGGAGGAGGAGGGAGGAAGAAAAGGGAGGACCCCTCTTCCATTGGGAAGCCCATAATCCTGGGCCGGGCAGGGAGGGCAGATTGGACGAGCTAAGACACTCATCTCCTTTGGGGAAGCCCATAAGGCCCGGCAGGTGGGGGGAGGAGGAGATTAGAAGCCCTGAAAGGCTCCTCTCCCTTGAGACCCATAATGCTGGGCAAGGTGGAGGAGGGAACCTTGTGAAGAAGTCCAGACCAGAGTCAAGAGGGACCCTGGGAATCCCCCCCCCCCTCAGTGGGTGCCTCCCTGGAGCCGGGCACAGCTGCAGGGCCCCCCTTAAACCCCACCAAGGGCCCCTCGCTTCTCCCACCCCCCCCACCACCGATCCAGGTGTTGCCTGGTGGCCTTGCCAAGTTCCTTCCCCTCCGGACCCTCCCAACCCCCCGACTGCTGAGCAAGCGGCCCCCAGGCGGGAGACTCCCCTTGGGCCGGGGGCCTTTGGCTGAGTCTTCGGCACCTCAGCCCGGGGGGCTCCAAGCCTCATCTAGGACACCCGTCTAGAGCACCAGGGCTGATGGGAGCTGTAGTCCGGCACACCTGCGCAGAGAAGCCAGCCCTCTCCCGGCCCCCATGCCCGAACCCTGCCCCGAACAACCCAACCCACCCGCTGCCTCGCTGGAGGGAACTTCCTTGCGTTGATGTTGCTGAGATCGGACGAGCGTCTTTCCGAGAGAGAACTCGGCTCTTCCGTGCCCAACCGTGGCCCCTTTAAGACCTGGGGACTTCAGCTCCCAGAATTCCCCGGCCAGCCACACATGGATCCTGGGAGAGGGAAGTCCACGGGTCTTAAAGGGGCCACGGTTGGAGACTCCCGATTTACACACACCGTGTGGGACGCTGCGCTCGAAACAGCTCCGCGGCTGGAAAGCCAGGAAAGAAAAGGGGTCAAAACCGGAAATCACGAAAGAAAGAAAAAAGAAAAAGGGGGGGGGGGCGGGGGGGCGAAGACACCACACATTTTATTGCAACAGAAAAGGCTTCTATGTACAGCAGGGGACGCCCAGGGCTGAAGCGCGCGGTTCCCCCAGAAGGGCAACTGCCCAGCCCAGAGCCCCCTGTGGCCGGGGAGGGCAGAGCTGGCACCCAAAGGGGCCGGGCGAACCAAGGCCCCCCCCGCCTCTTCCGACAGTCCCAGGCCCACCCGACGGCCTCCGTGGCTGCTCAGTCACTGTCGCTGCTCTCGCTGCTCGACTCCGAAGGGGCGTCGCTGGGACTGGCCTCCCCTTCCTCCTCCTCCTCCTCCTCTTCCTCTTGGTTGGAGTGGTCGCTGCCGCTGAAGAAGGGGCTGTGGCTGCCCCGGTGCTGCTGCTGCTGCTGCTGCTGCCGGCTGCCCCGGTCTTCCTCCTCCTCCTCCTCCTCCTCCTCCTCCTCGCTGCCGCTCTCCTCGTCCGCCTCCGGCCGGTCGCCCTCCGGCTCAGAGTCTTCCTCATCATCGTCGCTGCCGAAGATCTCCTCTTTGTCTCGCGCAGCCCGCTCGTCCTCCTCGCTCTCCTCGGCCGGGACGCCCTCGCTGGGGGAGCGGACTTCCTCCTCCTCCTCCTCTTCTTCCTCCTCCTCCTCTTCCTCCTCCTCCTCCTCCTCGGCTTCGCTGGCCTCCTTCTCGCTCTCACTGCCTTTCTCCGGCTCTTCGTCTGAAGTGGGGAAAGACAGCGGAGGGGATGGCGGGTGGAGCGCTCGGGAAGCCCCCCCCTCTGTGGTGGCGGGTGGGCCCTTAAATGTCCCCCTTAAATGGGGCCCAAAGGAGAAGCTGGGGTGGTTGTCGCGGTTTGGCCTCCTGAGGGCTGGGCCCCAAAATGGAGGCCAGGTACGGTTTCGAACAGGTCCCCGAAGGAAAGCCAGGGTGTCTATGCCGTCTGTTCAGACAGGAAAAGTGCCCAGGAAAATCCCCCCCCGCCGTGCCCATGCTAACCAACCCGGGCTGGGCTCCGGGTTCGGGCTGTGAAGGTCTGCCCGCGCAGGGGCAGGTTTAAGAGAACAACCGTGAAAACCAAAGCCGTGCAGAGGTCCTGCCTGGCTCCGCTTATTTCCACTGGATTCCAACCGAGCTCCAGTGGGCCAGAGAGAAAGGGCCGGGGAGGGGCCGGATGTGGCCCAGCTCTGCTCTCGGGGGCCGGCCGGGATCTGGGAGGAAGACCACCCACCTGAGCCTTGGGCCTCCTTGCCCAAGTCCATCTCCTCCTCTTCCTCCTCCTCGGGTTCGTGGTTCTCCAGCTGCGCTTTGCGGGCTTCCTGTGAGGGAGGCGAAGGTGCGCGAGTGGGACGCTCAGCTCAGGACTCCCTCCCTCCCTCCCTCGGCCACGGGGAGGGGCCTTCGGGCAGAGCCCCGGAGCCCCTGTGGCCCAGCAGCAGGGCCCCTCTGCCCACTAGGACCCACCCAGCCCTACCTGTGCCTCCAGCTCCTTCTCGTTCATGTCCCTGTGTTTCACCACCAGCACCGCGTTGGTGCCTGACTGGACGCCGGCCTTGGCTCGCCGCTTGCTGAGCCGCACTCTGCCAGGGGAGGAGGGGGTCAGGGAGGGCGGAAGCGGCCTGGGGGCCCCTTGCCAGCATCTCAGTCCCACCCCCCGGCCCCTTTTATCCGAGGAGCCACAGCTGCTCAGAAACTGGTTCATAAAACAACAATGCAGCCAGGGAGGCCTCCCCAGGCCACTCAGCCTGCCAAGGTCCCAGCAGCTCCACCTTCTGTGCCCCCCGGCCCCCCAGTGGCCTGCCCCAAACTCCCTCCCCCTCACCTGGTTTCCAGTTCGTTGTAATAGACCCCGTCGCCTTCCCGGAAGATGAAGAAATAATTCTCCTCGTAGCCCTTGCTGGCTTTGTTCTTAACGTTCCAGTTGTATTCCCGGGCAATTTTATACTCGTACCTGATTTTTGTTGCGGGAAGAGGAGGAGGAGGAGGAGTTTCACACCTTGGGAAAGATCCGCTCCTTCCCAATTCAATTCCACTTCCCAAAATTGGATTGATTTTCTAGCTCACCCAAACCCCTTCCGCGGTGGTGGGGGAGCTACTTTGCAACAGCAAACCGAGGCAAGGAGAGGCACGCAGGAAATTCAAGGGCCGAATTAAAGCAGTCCGTGCAACTTAACATCCCCCCTTCCCCTGTGAAGTAAAGAGCTGGGGGGGGGGGGAAACCCCCACTAATCCAGGCAGCCCCACCCTTTTATCCCAGGACTCTGGAAAGCCACATTCAGACTAAGCCGGTTGGGAAATGTAAGCTAGGCTGTATGCAGCTGGCTGACCATTTCCAAAGTCAGAGCCCTTGTTGCGACCGCGACGCCCTTCTGGGCTCCCTTCCAGGCGGATCTGAGCCCTGCTGGTCTCCCGGGCGCCTGCGCCCACTTACACTTCCTCGGGTGCGTAATCCATCTCCTCTTCTTGGTCCCGCTTCCGCTTCCGCATCGTGTCGTCCACGGGGAGGAAATAGGCCACGAACTGGTTGCCCTCTTCGTCCATCATGCCCCTGGAGGCCGAGGGGAAGGGGGAGAGAGGCGCGATCAGTTCCCTGCTTTGGACGGAACCGCCACCGGGCCAAGCAAAACCTTTGCAGGCGCCAGCGGATAAAAGGGGGAAGGCCGGAGGCCGGAAAGGGCTGGGCTGGGTCCACGGAGGTCCGGAAAAGGCCGGAAGAAGGGCCAGAGGTCAAGGCACAAGGAAGGCCGGCTTGGCCGGGTGGTTAAGGTGCCAGGCTAGAAAGTGGGAGACGGAGAGTTCTGGCCCGGCCTTAGCCATGAAAGCCAGCCGGGCGACTTTGGGCCACTTGCTCTCTTCCTCAGCCCAACCCACCTCACAGGGTGGTTGTGGGGAAAATAGAAGGAGAACAATAGGTTGGATGTGTTCATTGCCTTCTTTGTAAAAATAAAGGTGAGATACTAAAAAAATAAATAAAGATAAAACACCCCCGGCAAGGAAACCAGGGCTGGCTTTTCCCCTTCTCTACTTTATAAATAAACCGTGGTCTCACCTAATCATGGCTTGTGACATCATATCCAGAGCTGCTGCCCCGCTGGTGTCCTTGGGCGCTGGATCAGAGTCAAAAATGACCTGAGCACAGGGGTTGATCCACATCTGGCAGGGAGGAGAGAGAGAGAGAGAGGGGTGGGTGGGCGGGTGGAGACTGAGAACAGCAGCTCAGAGACCAGCGAGACCTTCCAGGGAGGGGCCTCTCCCCCCCCCTTGCTTTCCCCTTACCTTGAAGTCAGGAAAGACCGGCATGACTTCCATTGGGGTAACGCGGGGTTTGCTGTAGTGCTGAGAAATCTGGGGAGGGGGGCAGAGTTTCCCATTAGGAGACACCCCAGGAAGAGGGAACAGAGCCGCCGCCCTTGTTGTGCCGGAAAGCTGTAGCGGAATGTAGGCTCTGCAAAGCTCTCTTCGCCCCTCCCTCACCCGCCCCCATTTAAACCATCAGTACCAGTGGCTCCAGAAAGCTTCTACAGCAGGGGGGGG